TTGGCACAGGATAGAGCACGGTTTAGGGCTGTTGTACATAGGGTCGCTATGAGTCGCAAACGACTCAACGGCACATAACAACAACAAGCCCCAAAAGACCCCCGGGAGCAGCGTCAGATGAATAGCTCTAACCTCATAAGAGTTATATAAGGTTATAACTGTATAACCATGTAAATTCAGCAATAAATAATAGAAAAAAAACAAGCCCAATTGCTGGGGATTGGCTGCCCAGTAACCAAATGAGGGAGTCTTAAACTATGACCTTTCTCCCTGTGTACCTAAAGTCCTTTTGCCCAAAAGGTTTAACACGTTGCCGCAAATGACGGCAAATGTATTTCTAAGCTTGGTCGTCAATTTAAAAAGTGTGCGGCAACGTGTTAACTAACCAATTAAAATGTATGTAAAAACTAGCCAGTAGAGAGCTCTGGTGGCCTAGTGGCAAGAAGCTGCACTGCAATCTCAGAGATGCGCGATTTGAATCCACAAGATGCTCTGCTGGAGAAGGGGCAATCTCCTCCTGTACCAGTCAGGTCTGATTTGATGGTACATGCACAAAAAGCAATAAAGTAAAATTTAAAAAACTAACCCCACCTAGCCAGTAGAAAAGAGACCCCCACCACTACCTTGTAAGCTTATATAAAGAGAGAACATTTTGCGTTCAGGGAACCTGACCCTTGAGAGGCTGTAGTTGCTGTCAGCACATCTCATGGACTATAGTCTTCCTTGCTTCACCGAAAGAGCTTGTAGCGCTGTTCCTTCGCCTGCAGTCGCTGGACAGGAGGCCAAATTCCTGTAACAATGTCATCCTCACAATGGTTGCTGTGTTTGAGCTCATTGCTTTTTGGTCTTGTGCCTGGAACATGGTAATCGCGAAATTAATGTTGGCAATTAATTTCTTTTTATTCCTTTAGGTCGGATCACTGTGGCAAAACTTTAAGAATATGTAAAGTACCATGTTGTCAGGAGCCAGTCCTTTGAAAAAAAACCCAAACCCATCATGTTGGTAAACGTGGAGGGTCAGAGAGAGAGAAGACCATCAACAAGACAGATTAACAGTGACTGTAAGAATAGGTTCCTGCATAGCAGAGATCATGAGGATGGCGCAGGAATGGACCAGGTTCAGATCTGTTCATAGAGCTTGTTGAGTCGACCACATTAAAAAAAAAAAACAAAACCCAAACAACTGTAAGTCTCTAGCTGCTACATACTTAGACTTCGGATAGGGTGACTCGCTTTGACTAATTTTTTTTTTCCCGTTATAAGAATCTCATCTATATACTTTCTCGGCTTGGCCCATTTTACATAGCCAACTAACGTACAAAGTTAAAACTGGGAAAATTGCCGACAGGGGCGCTACTGGGAGACGGTTCTTTACACAATCACAGCCTCGCCTCCGCGCCCAGGGCGCGAACACTCAGCCCAATTCTCGCGTGACCTGGTGTTTGAACGAGAACTCCTAACCCCACCTACTTCCCAAGGGTCACATGATATTCCCCTGCGTCCTAGACGCAAGGTCGTTCCTGGTCTGCTATTGGCTGGCAATTTGGCTACAAGGTGTCAGAAGGCTCATTACGGAAGTAAACTGTTTGACTATCATTCTATCTACGGAAGCGTGTGACAACCTAGCTTTCTCTTAGCGGAAGTTCGTCACGTCTCTGTGGCCTCCGTACAGCGGATGTGTGTCGCCTCTTAGGTGACACTGGGAAGTGTCTGCAGCCTCCGCCGCTGCCTTCTGGTTGAAGCGCTATGGAGAAGAACAACAACAAACGGTGGTATTTTACTCGAGAGCAGTTGGAAAATAGCCCATCCCGTCGTTTTGGAGTGGACTCCGATAAAGAACTTTATTATCGCCAGCAAGCGGCCAATCTGCTTCAGGACATGGGACAACGTCTTAACGTGTATCCTTGCGGCCTAGGCCTTCGGCCTTGGAATCGGTCTAGCTATGCTCCGACTTTCAGGCCTCAAGTTGGGCCAGGACGGATGGGGGTCAGAGGGAGGCTGTGGTCTGGTTGTGTAGGTAGAAGAGCTCACAGTGGGGCGGGCTGAAATAGTCTTGTACGCGCGGAGAAAGCGTGGCGGAGTTAATTTCCCGCTCGCTCATCCGTGCCTTCAACATTGCTAGGAATTCGTATCCTTCCTGGCATTGTGTTTTAATCAGCCTTTCATAATGTTTTGACGTTTTGCTCTGATTTTTCGGTACACCCTGGGGGTCTGGTCGATATTTCACTACTGATGACTGTCTCCAACTTAGTAGAGAGTTTTGAGGAGTTCAGAATCTGAAGGTTTTATAAAGGGTGGCCTAAAAGTAATGCCTTAGCAGCTTTGGTCTTCCCACTCACTAGCTAAATGACCTGTCAGATTCTTGATTTTCTCATCTAAAGTGAGATGATTACTTTTCTATACCCAGAACAGTGCTTGTCATTTCAAGGGTGTCTTTGCTTATTTATTCAACAAATTTATATTGAGCTCCTGCTTTGTGTATGGCATTGTGCTATCTATTGGCATTTAATGATTTAGTATATAAGATAATGACTTACTGTTTAAAGAGAGAAATTATTTTCATTTAGGGTTGACTGAGGATTTGGCTATATGGCCTTTTTTAGAAAGAGATATGCTTTTGGGGGAATTTTACTACCTACCTGGCTGTTTTGGAGCCTTAACTTAATGCCTTAGGTCGCAGTTGACTATTAACACGGCGATTGTCTACATGCACCGGTTTTATATGATTCAGTCATTTACACAGTTTCATCGAAATGTAAGTGTACCTTTATGTGTGGTGTGATCCTTTTGTGATTCGTTCTAATGGGTTTGTTTTTTTTTTTTTGTGGTTGATCTTTTCTGCTGAACTGGGATTTAAGCATTTTAAGGTTAACATCTGTCATTAAGTGCCACACTGAGTTTTAAGTCCAGTCTTCCCATTGGTCTGTCTGGTTCTGTGTTAGGTTTAGTGCAACCTAGTAGATAGATTCTCAAAACATAACCTTTTTTGAGTTAAAGGTAAATCTTGATTAATTTAAGAATTTCTTTATAAGAGGGATAGATAAGGGGGACACAGAAAAGTGAATAAAAACCATTGATAAAATTCTGTTTGTTGATTGGTTGGAGGAGGAAGTTGCACCATATGATGATTTTTACACTCAAAACTTGTTGCATTGGAGTCAGAACCAACTCATCGCTGGCCCATCAGTGTGTTTTCTGGACGCTGTAAATTGCATGGACCGAGATTGCCCATCTCTCTTCTGTGGAGCCATTGGTAGATCCAAATTGCCAGAGAGGTGCCATCCTTGGGTTAGGAGCCAACCTCTCCATGAATTAGATCACCAGTTGTTGTGTACTGTCGTGTCAAAACCAATTTACACCTGACCCTCCGATACATTTTTAGAGGCAGTAAATCTAGCTTGGGAGGAGATTGTCTTTCTCCCAAGGAGCAGCTGAGGGATTTGAACTGCTTACCTTTAGATTGGCAGTGCCACTTTTACCACTCACTAGCTCTGGTGGCCTTGTAGTAAAATTGATTTAATTTTATTTGGATCCTTAAATCAGTGCTAGTGGAGACAACAGTTAAGAAAACAAAGATTGTATTTCATTGGACAAATCTGCGTGAAATCTGGCTCCTTAAGGACTAAGGTGAGACAGATTTGTTTGTTCTTGTACCAGTTCATAATCAATAATATAATAATAAATAATACAGTACTCTTCTGCAACACCACAATTTAAAGGCATCTATTCTTTGATCTTCCTTTTCATTGTCCAACTTTGAGATGCATATGAAGCAATTGGAAAATACCACGGCTTACATCAAGTACACCTGAGTTGTTGTTGTTGTTATTATGTGCCGTCGAGTTGCTTGTGACTCATAGGGACCCTACGTACAACAGCCCTAAATGCCACTCTGTCCTGTGCCAGTCGCACTGTCTTTGACACTCCCATCCCAGTTATCCCAGTCACTGAATCAATCCACCTCATAGAGGGCCTTCCTCTCCTGCGCTGTCCCTCCACCCTCCCAAGCATGATGTCCCTCTCCAAGGACCGGTCTCTCCTCACAACATGTCCAAAGCATGTTAGACGGAGCCTCAGAATCCTTGCCTCCAAGGAGCCACCTGGTTTAACCCTTTCCAGGACAAATCTGTTTGTTTTCCTAGCAGTCCATGGTGTTCTCAATACTCTTCTCCAGCACCCACAGCTCAAAGGCATCAATTCTCCTTCTATCCTCCTTGGTCATTGTCCAACTCTCTGATGCATAACAACTGATTGTGAAGACCATGGCCTATATCAAATGCACCTTAGTCTCCATAGAGACACCATTGCTCTTCAGTACTTTGGAGAGGTCCCTAACAGCAGACTTTCCCATGGCAATGCATCTTATAATTTCCTGGCTGCTGGTGCCAAGACTGTTGACTGTGGAGCCAAGCAAACTAAAGCTGTGTACAATCTCAATCTCTTCACCATCCATCCTGATGCTGCCAATTGGTCCAGTGGTGAGAATCTTTGTCTTCTTGACATTGAGCCTCAATCCGTATTAGAGGCTGCAGTCCTTGACCCTCTGCAGCAGGTGCTGCAGGTCCTCTTCAGTTTCAGCAAGCAGGGTTGTGTCATCTGCATAACACAGATTGTTGATAAATCGTCCACCAATCTTGACCCCACATTTCTCCTCATAGAGCCCAGCCTCCCGGATAATCTGTTCTGCATATAGGTTGAAAAGGTATGGAGATAGGATGCATCCCTGGTGTACACCCTTCCCAATTTTGAACCATGCAGTGTTCCCTTGCTCTGTTCTGATGACTGCCTCCTGGTCCAAGTATAGGTTTTGCATTAGCATGATCAAGTGTTCTGGAATTCCCATTCTTCTCAGAGTCAGCCACAGTTTGTTATGATCCACACAGTCAAATGCCTTTGCATAGTCAATGAAACACAGATAGACATTCCTCTGGTATTCTCTGCTTTCAGCCAAGATCCATCTAACATCAGCTGCAATATCCCTAGTACCACCACCCTTTCTAAACACAGCCTGGACTTCTGGTAGTTCTCTGCTGATGTGCTGTTCCAGTCGTCTTTGGATAATCTTCAGTAAAATCTTGCTTGCATGTGAAATCAGTGAGCTTGTTTTGTAGTTTCCACATTCTGTTGGGTCACCTTTCTTTGGGATAGGAACAAATAGAGATCTCTTCCAGTCAGTTGGCCAAGTGGTTGTTCTCCAGATTTCTTGGCACAACTTGGTGAGCATATCCAGGGCAGCATCTCTTAGCTGAAATATGTCAATTGGTATACCATCTATTCCTGGCACCTTATTTTTTGCCATTTCCTTCAAAGCAGCTTGAACTTCTTCTTTCATCACAAATAAAGATAGGATTTCTAAATAAAGATAGGATTTAAAAGAGAAAAAAAGACAAGTCTATAGGACACTCGACTACAGAGGCCTCCTATAATCTAGTCATTATAGGATTTTATTTTATGTATGAAATTTTGTTTATCCATTTGGCTCATAAATGTATAAATGTTTATTACCATAAATGTAAAAGAAGGCAGGAAAATTGCTATTTCTATAAACCACAGATAATTCTATTAAGATAGTGACATTTATCTTAAAATTTTTATCTATATGTACTTTGGGCATATTGCTAGTAGAGACTATTCCTTGGAAAGGGACATCATGATGAGAAAGGTGGAGGTTTAGTGAAGGAGAGGGAGACCCTCATCAAGATGGATTGACATGGTGTCCGCAGTGATAAGCTCAAAAGTGTCAAAGATGACGAGGATGGCACTTGATAGAACAGGATTCAGCTCTTTTGTTCACAGGGTCGCGATGAGTTGTGTGACGATACCTAACGACCGTAATCTTGGGGAAGATTATCCGAAAGCAACTGGAGCAGTACATCAGGAGACAACTATCAGAAATACAGGCTGGGTTTAGAAGAGTCCTTGGCACTAGGGACATCATAGCTAATGTCAGATGGATCTTGACAAAGCGAAGAGTACCAGAGGAATGTTTATCTGTGTTTCATTGACTGTGCAAAGGCATTTGACTATGTGGATCCCAACAAATTGTGGTTAACATTGAGAAGAATGGGAATCCCAGAACACTTTATTGTGCTTATGCGAAACCTATACTTGGACCAGGAAGCAGTCCTCAGAACAAAGCAAGGAAACACTGCATGGTTCAGATTTAGAAAAGGAGTGCATCAGAGATACATCCTGTCTCTGTACCTTTTCAGCCTAAATGTGGAACAGAGCATTTGGGAAGCTGGACTTTTTAAGGAAGATGCATCAACAACCTGCATTTTGCAGATAATAGAACCTTGCTTGCCAAGACTAAGGAGTCCTGAAGCATTTGCTGCAGAAGGTCAAGGGCTGCAGTCTTCAGTTTGGATTGAAGCACAACATCAAGAATATAGATTATCACCACTGGGCCTGTTGCTGCAGCATGATAGATGGAGAAGAGAATGAGAGTGTTAACAATATTGGCTTTCTTGGCTCCACAATCAACACTTTTGGCACCAGAAGTCAGAAAATCAAAAGACAAATTGCATTGGGGAAAATCAGTCAGGGCCATCTCCCGAGTGCTGAAGAGCAAGGATGTCGGTCTAAGTGGCCCTGATTCAGGCCATGGTCTTTGCAGTTACTTGCTGTGCAACAGAGAGCTGGACAAGGATTAAAGATGATAGAAGAAGAATTGATGGCTTTGAGTTTTTCTGGAGTATTGAATAGCCTATGGACTGCCAAGAGAACAGACAGGTCTGTCCTGGAGAGTGAAACCTCCCTCCAAGTTGCTCATTGGAAGCAAGGATTTTGAATCTCTGTCTCATACTTTGGGCATGTTGCCCAGAGGTCCTTGGAGAAGGACATCATGCTTGAAAGGGTGGAGGTCTAGGAATCTAGACCCTAGATGCAATGGATTGGCATAGTGACTGGGCTGAGAGGGCCAGGTGTGTCTGAGACAGTGAGATTGGCTCAAGATAGGGCAGGGTTCGAAGCTATAGTGCATAGTGTTGCTATGAGTTGCAAGTGACTTGCCCAGCATACAACAACCACCAACAATATGCAAAATGTGTTTTGTTATTGTTTAGATTGCTAACTGTTGTTTTTAAAAAGAAATATTAATGTGTTTTATCCTTCCCTTCGAGTACCTCTGACCATCAGGTTAATTTTCCTAATCAACCAAAACCCAAATCTGTTGCTACTGAATTTATTTCAACTCATATTACCTTTATAGGACAGACTTTAACTACCTCATAAGGCTTCCAAGGTTGTAAATCTTGTCAACAGGAAACGACCCCATTTTTCTCCCATGAAGTGGCTGATAGGTTTGATCCACAAACCTTTTGATTAGCAGCCGCTTGCTTAACCACTACACCACCAGGTCTTCTAATAGTTCTTAAGTCTGCATCTTTTCTAAAATCTCTATTGTCACGCTTAAAAATGTTATTAACACCCCATTATCCCATTACCTATGTCATTTTATCGGTTCAGTTTAGTTTCATGAAGCTACATTAAGTCCAGATTTCCCACACCTTTGTTTATGCCCATTTTCCTTTGGCCTGTCTGATTTATTCTAAGATCTAGAAATACAAATGTGCTGTTTTCAAAGCTACAAATACACCTGAAACAATGTAGAGGAAGAAAATTGTTACTGTGAACTCAAGGATGACATAAAGTCTGTTCTACAGAAATACTAACATAGGACTTCATTACACTGCACAGCTAGACACCGGGACTAGGACCCTTCGCCTCGCCTCCAAGTCACAGTGTGGTCTGTCTGTCCTTGTCCTCGTGTAAAAGTTGGCTGGCAGCAGTTCCCGCGCCCTCCCCGGAGTCTGGACGGTTTGCGCCAAGCTGGAAAGACTGTGCTTCCCCGAGGCTGCCCGCACAGCCTCGGCTACGCTCACAGTGCCGGGCTCAGCAATATGAAGGAGCAGCCCTCATGTGGGGGCACCGGGCATCTGAGCATGGCGGGAGGAGGCCTACCAAAAACTGGCCAGCGAGGCCTTGGAGGAGCTGGACTGGTGTCTGGACCAGTTAGAGACCCTGCACACCAGGCACTCTGTCAGTGAAATGGCTTCCAACAAGTTTAAAAGGATGCTTAATAGGGAGCTCACCCATCTCTCTGAAATGAGTCGATCTGGAAATCAAGTGTCAGAGTATATATCAAACACATTCTTAGATAAGCAATTTTTTTTAAAAAGAAATTGCCACTTAAGAAAAATTCCACTTTTGTAGGTTTTCCACCACACCGATGTACATGTGAGGTTGCACTAACCTTTAATATTATTTAGTATCTTAGTTGGTTATTTAGAGAGCTTTGGTAGACTAGTGGCAAAGAAGCTGCATTGCAGTCCTGAAGGCACGTGGTTCAAGGCTATCAGCTGTTCTGTGGGAGAAGGATAGGCAGTCTCCTCCCATGAGATTAACTGCCTTTGAAAACCCACTGGAGGGTCAGCTATGGGTCACTTCTGACTCTATGATACACAACAACAACAGTTGGTTATTTAGTTTATTTGCTTGAATTGTTTCCTGAATTCCTTAAATGTATAACTTCTTTACTATAACTGTGGTCTATATTCTATAATGTCTGCAGATAAAATTCACCTTTTTAATATGTACAGTTCACATTGGTTTTTAGTATATTTGCAAAGTCATTCACCTACCACCACTATCTTCTTCTTTTTTTTAAATTTTATTATTTTTTTGTGCGCTTGCTGTCAAATCAGGTCTGACTGGTACAGGAAGAGGATGCCTCTCCTTTTCTAGAAGAGTATCTGGTGGATTTTGAAGAGGATGCCTCTCCTTTTCTATAAGAGTATCTGGTGGATTTTAACTGTGTATCTCTAGGATTGTGGTGCAGCTTCTTGCCACTAGGCCACCAGAGCTCGCCACCACTATCTGAAGTCTAGAACATTTTCATCGTTCCAGAAAACAAAAAAAACCAAACCATACATACCCATGAGTATTTCTCCTCATTCTTGAATCCCCCCTCCATCCTACCTCAGTCCTGACTGCTAGATTCCTATCTCTGGAATTTCCTATTCTGGACGTTTAATTGTTTCTTAAGAATCCCAGTTTTAAATAGAAAACCATCATAGCTTCTTGTGTAGATAGCTTTCAGTGAGAGAGAGATTGTTGAAGGATTGGCATCTGATGTGAACATGAGTAAATGATAAACCAAGACATTTTAAGTAGATAAAAACATAAGTAAGATGATGAAATTGAGGCAATGCACTGCATCTAAAACTGCATTCCTTTAGTTCTACTTTGATCTAGAAGTACTAAATATATATATA